AACATCTCACTAAAACTGAAGCCTCCCACCGACACATTCCAGACTCTTGGAGTAATCTGCTCTGGGGAATATGCTTTAAACTACATCAGCTTTTGCATTTCTTTCTCCAATCTTAATTGCACCCCCAAAACATACTCCCCTGCAAACTAACCCAGCATTCTTACCAAGCAGCAACAAATACCAGAAAATATTATGAACATCTGAATCTCAAACCAGTTTAGAGATCCAACTTTTCAAGCAACAAGTTGTGACTTCAGACAAGCTTTTCACTACACAACACACCTGGAAGAATTTACCCACAGATTAGCAATGCTGTGGTGGATGACTTGCATCTAAAGTGCATAGCATAAAATCATGAATAAATCATACACACCGTATTTGATATGTAGTATCTCAAAATGCCTTACATGACTCAGAATTGTGTGTCTTAGGAACAGAATTTCAGAAAGCACTATTTGATTAGAAATATCTAATTAAGGATACTCCTTTCAAGCCAGTCCATAAAGAATGTTTCATATAACATGTTACAGGAGAAAAGTAACTCCAGCAGGTTTCAATTAAGCCTCACTGCCATATGGATTTTGCATCTGCAGCAGGAAGGCTCAAAGACCATGTCACAACTAAGATATTTTTATGTCTCCAACTGAAAGCACTTAAACTGCTTGAAATAGAAGCATGTGGGTCATAACATCCCCAATAAAGCAAACCTTTCGCTGAGCCTAGAAGACACATGAAGCTAGAATATACCATATTCTTGGTCATGCTAACTTACTAACTTTTACAGGATATAAAAAGCTAAGTGTGTAGAGCATGTACACTTCAGTGCCCTCCTTACCCAGAAAAGCAGAGGACTCCAGTGCAAGTCACACAGTGATTTTTAAGGAGACACTAAAGGAGTGGGCATCTTTTTCTCCCTGCAGACCCAGAAGGGCACTGCTCCCTGAGCAGTTTACATGTGCCATCACAAGCACATTTGAAGGGCTCCTCAGGTCACCGCTTCAGCCAACCTCCTGCTTAAAGCAGGATCAAACTCCAACCAGACCAGGATTCTGAAGGCTTTGACCGGTTGGGTCTTGTGAAGGGCTGAGATGCCACCACCTCTGTGGGTCCCCATTTTAACACTCCCCTGTACTCCCATGGAGTGGTATTTTCCTTAAGGCAAGCTGGACACTCACCCATTTCAATTTATAAAGCTTTGACAAGTAACAACCCTCTATCCAACTAATCAAAGATGCTATCAACTGGAAAACAACAGTTATGGGTTTTTCCCTTCACTATCAAAAACATTCTCAAAAAATATGCCTTGATTAACCCAAGAGCTCCACTGCTGCTGCTGTGCCCTCTTGGGGCACAAGGGACCCTGAGCCAAACCGTCAGTGTTTTCTTCACACAGTTTGGACCCAAGAACCCCAATTCCTCTTTACTGAAAACAGATGTCAGCCAAGTTAAATCATCTCATGACTCCTCCAGCAGAAGGATGTAAACAGCCACAGCTCACCCAGCTGTTACTCAGAGAGGCCCTGCTGACAAGTCAGGGATCCCAACATGCTTTGAGACCTTCAAAATACTTTGACATACTGATTTGTGTTTATCACTCAAATCCACCAAAACACATTAGGTCACTTGAGTTTGCACTAGATTAGAGTTTTGGTCTTCTACCAACTTCCTCCAGGATTTTGAGCTCAGAGGAGAAAGAAACTGTTATCTTATGTTTTTATACATACAATGCTTAATGTCTTAATGTTTAACAAACCCCACCCCTGCACCATGCCTGCAAAGTAAATGCTTTACAAATAGGAAGGAAGGGGAAAAAGAGAGATTTCGTGATGTGCAAAAGGTCATAAAACACGTATGTGTACCATACACTTACCGTGTTCAGAATACAGAAATGCAAGCTTCCACCTCCCAGGACGCTTAACCTCAGCCAAAAGGAACTACCAAACTACAGCTCTCACTAATGCTGTCCTCCAAAGTGTTCAGTCCAGGTTCTAGTATCCAACTTTTTCAGCTAAGAAAATTACCTACTTGCTACAGTATGGAAGGACCCTGGGGCAGAAGCTGTGGGACATGTATGAGAAATGATGCTTTGCATCAGGTGAACAAGAGACCTTCAGGTGAATTAAATCCAAAACTATTTGCAATCATTGTAAACAACCACACTGGCAGGAGCTCTACTACAACATCCAAGGCTGTAAGCTCTCTTGCTGATGCCCAGGCAACAGCTTTTGCACACACAGCAAAGGGAAGTTAAAGCACAAACTCACTAATGCTATTCAAACACTTGCAGACTAAAAAGGCAGCTGGGAGGTCATGTTACATTCATGCTGTGAACTCCAAATGCTCAGCAAAGATAGGCACAGGGAAAGGCATTACAACCAGATTCAGGGAAAGGAAATATTTTAACCAAGATGGATCACACCACAGTCTCCAGAGTTCAGCAGAGACCCTGCAGCTCTGGGTCTGCATCCATTCTCCAGGCCAGGTTCACACATCACCAACTTTTTGTAAGAAGCACAGACCCACAGCATAGCCAAAATGTCCTTTCCATACAACTTTTAGCCAAATCCGCAAACAGAATTTTATTCTTAGCCAAATATTTGTTTGTTCATTATTTCTCATAGCTCAGAGACAGGAAAACCAGGTATAAATCACTAGTGCCATCAGCATAGCTGTGGTACTAGGCAGCTCACAGGAACCAGGAGCCCTCAAAGTAAGTTCCTCAAGCTGGCACCAACTTCCCTGCTATTACAGTGACACTGCCAGTGACAGCCAGCCCAGCCAAGCTAAAGCTATTTCGAGTGTATTTACATTGACTAAAAACTACACAAAGCATATACTGTGGGCTTTAGAACATCACCATGTAATTCAAGAAGCAATACTCTCCTAGACCTTCGGGTTGTTTATTTACTCACCTTAGTTCATCTACTTCTTTGCAGTGATGATCCCTCTATATATAATGTTTTAACTTAAATTATGGAAACTGCCACAAGATAACAAGGTTTCATTTTGAACTGAGATTATAACAACATACTCAAGTAGCCTAAGCAAGTGAAATCAATAGAGACAGGAGGTATCCCTTGGGATTTAGCTGCAAGATTGGAGGCATCCCCAGAGATGCAGCTACAAGATTAAGCCTTTCCTGCCAACATTTTTTTTAAGTGGACATAGATCAGGGAGAAAATAAAAATAGAAAAATCTTGAGACTACCAGAAAACGTTCTCCTCGCTGGCTCAGTGAAGACAGACTTGAGATGTCAGAAGGGGAGCTAGAGCTGAGACAATAACCCCATTCCCCAGCGGGGCAGAAGACAAATTCTGCAGGAAAAGTGACAACTCAGCACCTAAAGCACTAGAAATCCCGCAGCTCCGGGGCACGGCCGGAGCCCCCCAACATCCGCCAAGCACCAGCCTACCTGGAGGGGTTAGCGCTGCAGACAAGGGGAGCCAGAGGAGTGGAGAAGAAAAGGGCAAAGGGCTCTCTCGACCTCACTGCTGCTGCCCCGGATCCGCCCAAGGACGGACGCAGAGCTCAGCGAAGGCGAGACCAAGCGCGGGGACCCTTCCCTTTGCCCCGCCCGGCCGCTGGGAGGGCTACGGGAGGGCGGGACCGGGGCGGACCCCACCCGGGGCGGACCCCACCCGGGGCCGACCCCACCCGGGGCCGCTGCCCGAGCGCGCCCCGCGCCACCCCCGCAGTCAGTGGCATCTGCGCCTGGTCCTGCAGCATCCGCAGGGAGCACCCGCCCCGGCCCGCTCGGCGCTGGCAGGAGGGGGTGTAAACGGGAAAACCTCACGGGAGAAGATCATCAAACCCCCTCCGGGAAGAGGGGAATGTCCTTGGCAAAAGGCTTTTCTTTTTGTGGTTGTTTTTTGTTTGGTTTTGGGTTTGGGGTGTTTTTCGATTTTGGGGGGTTTTTTCGTTGTTGGGGTTTTGTTTGTTTGTTTGTTTTTCAAATAAAGGAACTACGAAAATAAAGATGTGGGCAAACAGTTTTTATTTAAGAGCGTACAGCTCTGGGCAAATATTTGGACACATTCAGAGGATGGGGAGGGAAAGGCAAACACAAACAGGACAGGTTTCATGGTTACTACGGGCTGGTGTTACACAGCGTTCCCATGCAAGGCTCTGCAGACACACAGCCTGCAGCCTGCACGCGGGGAGCAGAAACAAAGGTTTTTCACAATTGGCTCTGTGCTCTTTGGGATGTGACTTCCTAATTCAGGTTCTCTTTAAAGGAAAAAAAAAAAAAAAAAGAGTGCGTTGAATATGTGCACTGATGCCAGGAGCATACAGCTGCTCTGATCAGAGCCCAACGCCTCGATAAACCTCTAGGCCACAAAATGATGTCTCATCCCAATCCTGCCACCCTCCTTGTGGCTCCAACAACTAGTGAAATCAAGCTGTTGGTGAGTGCCCCTTTAGGCTGTAATCTAACCTTCCATCAACCTGCCAGCTGTGCTGAATAGCAGAGCCTGCACGGAAATGAGGGCCACACATGCTCGGGATCTGCTGAGGGCTCGATTATTTCTTGTTAATTGAAAGTAGGCTTGCTTAATTTATTAGACCTGAGTGTTGAAAAGTTGTTTCCTGCTTTGCAAACTGACAAGCTGAAGATCAGAAAAGCGCTAATTGGACTATAAATATAATAATCCTTGGGCTGTACCGCATTTAAATCCCAGTAAGAACCACTACAGAGAGAGATTGCATTGATCCTTTTTTTGTTTGAAAACAAAGATTAGTAGTGTGAGCAGAGAGTATCACTGGTGCAGTGCTTGGTCCTTATAAAAAAGGGACTCATTCCTCTGAAGTGGAATGGGAGCAGAATACAGTGGACGAGAAACTGGCAGCTGTCATTCATTTCATATTTAGCCAATCAGTACTCTGAAAGTAGTTGTTGTGACCTCGGTGAGTGCTGACTTAGTCTTGAGTGGGTTTCCTTCTCAGAGAATTCCCCTCCCTCTATCATGCTGCAGTTGCCCTCACTGATGCCGAGCAGGATGGATGCTAAAAGCCATGGGACCACCTGCTTTATTTTCACCCTCTGGTGGTTCTCTGAGCTTTACTCAGCTCCACTTTCCTCCCCAGGACTGAAGCCAACAGTCCTCTGCTCTCCAGCCTCAGGGAATCCAGGATTTTCACAGCTTTTTCACACAGCAAAGAAAACAGCTGAGCCATGTAGATAATCAGATAGGACGGCACCAGTAGAATCCTCAGGACATTAAAGATCTGGAGCAACAGGCAGACAAAGTTCCAGGTGAGAGAAGAAAACATGGTGTACAACAGCTGGTGAAGAAAAGGAAGAACTGAATCGTCATGGCAATGATGTTTTCAGAAGAGTTTTTATTTTCAGTGGAATAGGCATAATTTTGAAACCACAAGTGCTTGTTCCCTTCCCTCATCCACCCTGCACAACCTGCAAGCCTTTCAGCATGGTATTATGTCCTGCAAGAGCCCAGTTCAAGCTGCTGTGTTCAAGTCAATACTTGTACATGTGAAGAGCTCTAGAAGTATCAAATGGTAGCTTAGACAAGTCCAAGCTCATTCTTAGCATTGTTAGCCTTTGAAAAATTATGAAATTAATTAAAAGGAAATTTAAAAAATTGTTACTACACTGACTTAGGACAGCCTTGGTGGTGTTAATAATGTTAAAAATGCTTTCACTTGTTGATTCCATGCTGAAGCTCAGCGTCAGGGTGTGTTAGTCAAACAACTGCAGCAGTTTAGGATGATTCCAGTCCTTAGCTAGTCTAGCCTAAGCAAGGTTACCACTCCAGCAAAACTAATGGACGGAAACATGAGTGAGCACCTCAGTTGCTGCAGTTCAAAAATCCCAGCAATGTAATTGAACAGACAGGACTGTGAATAGTGAGAGTGGAGGCACAGAGCAGCCTTCCGTTGTGAGCCCCTTCTACAAAGGAACAAACAGGGCATGGGGAAAGAGAAGACACACAAGACATAAAGCTCTTCCACTGTGTCAAATATATCTTTTGGGATTTGTGTAAAGCCTAAGAAGATTGGAACTGTTGTGTTTGCAAAGAGATTTCTGGCTTCAGCTCTCATTAAGCAAGTGAAATACATCTTATTTTTAGTGACATACTCCACTGTAAGAAATCTGAAGCAGCCTTTAAAAATACATAATATCAGCCTTAAATACCACAAGAGTTTCTATGCACATTTGGGCTAAAGTTCTTATCTTGGAGAAATAAGTAGCATTTTTTTCTGTTTTAAGTGCAATTCTCAGGGACTTTTAAAATATGCATACATACCTTTAAATATATACACACACACTTATTCATGACAGTAATTCTGCACAATTTTGTCTTTACCTTGTCTAAATCAGAAGTCATTACAAGTGGGGAAGACAGAAAATAGAACCTCCTGTTAAGTCATTAACTAGACAGGAACCAATCTTGCAGCTTTTTCTTACCCAAGAGACCAAGGAGTCAGGCAGAGGTGAAAAAAAGTCAGAGCTGAGGCACAAAAGCAGTAGATATGCAAAGATACAACCTAGTCATACTACTCACCATCATGATGTTACAGAAATTGCTCTTTTCAACATGGGAATATCTTATCTTCTGACTCCGGGACCAACTGTTTGAGGTCACAGCGAGAAAACTTTGCTTTGGGTTTTTTGGATTTGAGCTCAGATAAGCAGGCTTGGGCCTCAGCCTCCCCACAGAGTCACTGGGTTGGGACTCCTCTTGTGTCTCTGTACTGGATGCGTCACTCTGGTTGTCTTCCTCTGTTAGCTCATCTTCAAATATAGAGTCAGAATCAGGCTCATCAAAAGACTCTTTCTTTATCTTTTCTGTGCTGGGCATCTGTGCTAGAAACAGGTTTAAAAAGAACATGCAAAACAGCTGTATGTGACTTTTTCTCCCTGGCTGCAAGCCTTGCACGTTCCACCTACGAGCTGGGCAAGGTTCCTCTGAACATTTTTCAGCTGAAATAAAGGATTTCTAAACCAAACTAGACAACAAAAGGCCCATACAAGTGTTTGATTTCAACTAATTAACTCTTAATCAGCAATTATTTCAGAGGAGGACCTGAAACATCCATGATTTTTTACTTGTGCCTGCTGTAATCTAGCATACAATAAGTGAATATGACTGAATTAGGAAGTTATTTAAAAGCGCACTGTTATCTTTCTTATGAGTAACTGGGAAATGCTTTAATGTTGTAATTCTGTAAATACGCGGGTACGTAAAAAATGAGTAATGTCTCTAGTCTTACTGATTAAAATGCAATTTAGAGCATTTGTGGAAATTGTTGGAGGCCGGGTGCTAACAACAGTTACTACAGGGCCAGAAATTGTGAAAGTAAATGTAGCAGGAATAACCTGAAAATCTCATTCAAAGCATCAGGAGATTCCAGAGTTACTCTGTCCAGGCAAAAACCTGAGCACTCAACTGAAGTGTGTGGCACAGCTACCCTTTGCCTGTGCAAAATAGTTTTTTGTTTGTTTGTTTGTTTGTTTGTTTTTTTGTTTTGTTTTTTGTTTGTTTGTTTGTTTGTTTGTTTTTTTATCACTGATAGTGAACTTACAATTCATTCCTTATCCAGGATTACTTATGATCCAGCACTAGAGCAAAGTAGCAAGGCTCTATTCTCATGAGTACATCAACAAGCTTATTATTAGTCTAAACCAAAAGCCTATTATAATTTACTGACGTGTTAGAACTAAGAATCAGTGATGGATCGGGAAAAAAAAAGAACAAAATACACAAATAAATGAAAATGCATGACTTGCTCCCTTCAAAATTTTCTATCAGCCTCAGCACTGACAAAAGGACCCTTTACCAGCTCCCCCAGTAACACCCTGCACACCCCCCAAAAATAGAGGTGCAAGAGAACTGTAACGCCAGAATTTAAAGTGCACAAAACTAGAGGGTTAGCTTTGGTTTCTTAAATAGAAATCCAGAAAAACTACTTGTCCTTTGCCCTTCTTAAATCAAATTACCTCTGAGAAAAAGGGAGAGAATAAGGAATAGAAGAATAAGGCAGCAGCTGGGCTTCCTATAAGCACTTTTTAACAAAAAAGCATCATAATTTGTGTTTGCTTTTCCATATACTACCACCAGTACTAAGAAACCTTTCAGTTTCTTTCTGTGACAAGTGTCATTAACCTAAAAATAGCTAGCAGAGTGTTTTAAAGGTGAAGCTAATAGATAAATACTTTATGCAGAAGCATTTTACCTGATCAACAGCCAAACTTACCTTCATTAAGTAGAAGCTGTAGCCAGATGATCATGATGATCAACAGCATTACAAATGGCAAACAGAACCAGAAGAAAAGCAGAGGAAAGGTCAGCTCATTCACCAGAGGAACCAGGGGATACCTCATGGCTTGCTTCGGGTTACACTAAGTTTAGAACAGCTTGTCTGCTCCGCTTTCTAACCACCTTTTAAAAACTCTCATTGCAGCCCCATTAATGACGAGAAGATGAGTGATATATCAGCATGGTTAGTAAAGGGGACAGTCCTGTGCTAGGGAGGGAGCAATGGGGATTAAATACAGCATAAGAACAACTAAGAAAACATCTGATTTGATTGGCCTTCCTTCAGCTGCTATTTAAAGGAAGCTTTCAAGGATTATGTTAAAACAGTAGTTAAAGATCTGGTCATGTTTGTGGATATAGGGGAGATAACCAAGCACTTCAGCCAGACTGAGCAGCCAAGGTTGCTTTTGAGAACACAATAAACCAAAGACAACCTTCCACAAATGGGTAGAGGATGAAAAGGTAAAAATTACTTCTCCCAGGCTCTTGTTTGATATAGAGCAAAAGTATGTTCCGTATTAATATAACTCTATTTTCAGCCTACTCTGTATGCCTCCATCTATTAGTTAATCCTTTAGGAAAATAAACCTTTGTATTTTAATTGCCTATCTCCCTTACCTCCAAAAAAGGCAACTAGTGTGTTTCATAGGATATGCCTACAAATGTATTGCTTAAGAGTAAAGGAGTTCAGTAGGAATCAAAGCAGGAACCAGATAAGTGACTTGATAACTTAATATTCATCACACTGTATGTTTCTCCTTCAATAAAATAAAACCATTATCTATTGCTTACCTCACAGAGAGTTGTTTGGATAAATTAATTGTTCTTGTAGCTCTCAGTGGAAGAGAGCAGGGATGTAAGTGCACATTACAAATGACTGCATGCATTAATAATGTTCTTGCTTGTGTGCATGTGTTTGTTTTTATGTAGTAACAGCCCCTTGAAAGGAGCCTTTTAATCCCAAGATCTAAATGAACTATGCAAATTCTTAATAATTCACATTAATAACACCCCTGTATGATAAAAGAAAGCTATTATCCCTGCTTTGTGCAGTGGGTAAACAAGTGAGAAAAGCCATTAATGCCCTGAGCTTCAAGGATGCTCAATATTTGAATCCTCATTTTGCACAGTGGGGGTGGCAGGTTGGGGGCATCTTTGAAAACTAGGCTGTCAGTGATTTGTCTACAGATGCAGTGCCAAAAGGGATGGAAAGGAGCTGAGTCCTGAATCTGTGATGTGTTTCATTTTAGTGATAAAGTGTTTCTCTTACTCATGTCACTGGGACCCCTTGGGGTACACACTGGCTCTCACTGAGCTGAGCTGGCCTGGGACCCCTTGTCCTTGAGGCAGGATGAATCCCACCCTGTGAGCCCATCTCCCTAGGGAATGAGGAAGTGAAAATAAGGGGGAAATGCCTTCACCATTTCCGATATCTCTGGAGAGGCTGGTTGGACAGGAGGGGGTCCCTCAGCAGGGAGGTGCCTGGGCTGTGTCAGTGATCTCCCAGGTGGGTGGCATAGCCCAGGGCCATGGGGTTTCACCTCCACACAGACACTGGGGAGGTTTCACAGTCCAGGTTTAAAGGATGAGGGTCCCTGTGTGAAAGTGAGATGGGGTACAGCCCATCCTATGGGATGGTGGTGTTTGATGTTTGTCCACAAAATTGGATCCTTTATCAGGTGTGCAACAAGACAAACATTATGCATTTGAGAGAGACACTGAGTATTTATTTCAGAGCTGTGCCAGCCTAGGTGCTCAGTGTGTTCCATAAATCCAGCAAACCCCACTGGATTTTCTATGGCATTATTTATAATTAATTTATTATAATTATTTTATTTATAATTTATAATTTATAATAATTTATTTATATATTTATAATTAATTTTAATTCAGAGTTATTAACTTTCCAAGTACAGAGGCTCTATTATGATTGGTTAGTAATTTCCATTCGAGTTATGTAACCCCATCTAACTTCTCCACATGCTCAGGGAGAGGGTCTTTAAAGTCCATTCCAACCCCTTAACATTCTATGATTCTGTGCTGGCTGCCTGTCCCACTGCTCAGGTCTTCCTCCTTGCTGATTAGGCTGGAAAGCACACAACGATCTCACACCAAGGAACGCCCTGATTTAAGATAATAAGATACTTCTGGCGTTTCGTAGCCTCGGCGGTCTCGGAACTCCCGTGCGGGGCCGCGTTCCCGGCCGGACGCGGGGCCGGGCATGGCGGCGCCCACGCGTGTGTTCGCGTTCCGGGACGCGCGCTGGGCCCCGGACCCCGTGCTGGCTCCGAGCGCGGCCGTGAGGAGCCCTCAGCCTGTGCCGTTGGTCATCGATAACGGCTCCTTCCAGACACGGGCGGGATGGGGCTGCCCAGACCCCACCGTGCCCGCCGAGCCGCTGCTGCGATTTCGCTCGCTGGCGGCGCGGAGCCGCGGGGCCCGCGGCGGGGCCGGCGCCGAGACCCAGGTGGGCAACGACCTGGGCAGCCCCGAGCCCCTGCGGTGGCTGCTGCGCTCGCCCTTCGACCGCAACGTGCCCGTCCAGCTGGAGCTGCAGGAGCTGCTCCTCGACTACGTTTTCCAGCGCCTCGGCGTCTCCTCGCAGGTAACGCCGGGCAGGGGCTGGAGCCGCCCGGGAATCGTGGAATGGTTTGGGATGGAAGGGATCTTAAAGCTCATCTCGTTCCACCCCCTGCATCAGGCAGGGACGCCTTCCACTAGACCAAGTTGCTCCAAGCCCTGTCCAACTTGGCCTTGAACCCTTCTAGGGATGAGGCAGCCACAGCTTCACTTGGAAACCTGTGCCAGGGCCTCACCACCCTCACAGGCAAGAATTTTTTTTTCCTGATATCTAATCTAAGCCTGCTCTCTTTCAATTTGAAGCCATTTCCCCTTGCCCTGTTATTCCAGGCTTCTGTAAATAGTCTTGCCCCATCTTTCCTTTAAGTTCCTTCAGGGCTGGGCCCCGGGGAGGGGGGAGTCTGGGTGGAGGGGGAGGTTCCACCTTAACATGGGGAAAAACTTCTTTACTGAGCAGTGACTGAGCACTGAACAGATTGACCAGAGGGGCTGTGAAGTCTTCCTCATCAGAAATATTCCAGAACCATCTGGACACAGTCCTGTGCCACGTGCTCTGGGATGACTCTGCTTGAACAGGGAGGTTGGGTCGGATGACCCACTGTGGTCCCTTCCAAGCTGAACCATTCTGGGAGGTTGTGGCTGGTCCATAGTGGGAATTTGGCGGTGTAGAATTTCCCCTGGCTCTCCTGGGATGTGTTGTCCCCCTTCTTACAGATACAGCCTGGGTAGACAGTGAGGTGAACCTGGCTGGGCCAGGTGTGCCCCAGTGGTGTCTTTGAAGCTCTGCTGTGCTCCTCATTTCTTCATGGGTTTGTAGTGAAGCAAAAGAGGAGGATTCAGCTGCAGGGTGAAAGGCTTGGACTGCAGTGTCCTGTCAGGTCATGTCTGAGAACCTGCATCCAGGATCAGCTTTTGAGAAGGACATGAACATACTGGTGTTGTGTATTGCTCTTATTAGTAGAGCTTATTGACCATCTGTACACCCAGCTGTGTTGAGAGTTGCTCCTCAGGCCATGGAGCCTTTTGCCTGCGTGACAACACAAGTTTGAAAACTTTACCCAGTGTTGAACTAAACCTCCACTGGTTTTCTCTCACACTTCACCTTCTCATGGCATAGATTTTGGTTACTTAGATTTTTAATAATTTGTATATGCTTTTAAAAGTCCATTCTCCTCCACCATTAGGAATTTATTCTTTAGTTGAATTAACATTAACATCTTTTTTCCCCCTTAAGCAGTAGATAGGTATAATTTAGCTTACGTGTTTTTACGTGATTAGTAGCCTGCACATAAAGTGCTTTCTCATGGCTGTTTTGGAGGAGTTCTTGCTGGTGTTCAAAAGAAGAAGCAAGGATAACTGGATTTTCCCTTCATACCTTTGTTATTATTCTTTTCCCTTGTCTCTTCCAGGGCTGTGTTGACCACCCAATTGTTCTGACAGAAGCAGTGTGCAACCCTCTGTATTCAAGACAAATGATGTCCGAGCTGCTCTTCGAGTGTTATCATGTGCCAAAAGTGTCCTATGGCGTGGACAGCCTGTACAGTTTTTACCACAATAGGAGACAGAAGTGGCCCTGCAGTGGTTTGGTGATATCCTCAGGGTATCAGTGTACACACATTTTGCCAGTCTTAGAAGGCAGGTGAGTTCTTGGTGTCTTAAGTGCAGCCTCTCTTTGTCAGGCATTGACTTTTCAAGTGATGCAAATACCCATTTTTCCAGCACTGAGTATTCCAGCCCTGCAGTATTAACTCCTACCAGGTCTTAATTTATACTGATGACTTAAAGCCAGGTCTGCAGATTTTACTAAGTTCGATTGAATTTTGAATTGAAGATGCAGTACTGTCTTTGTATTTTTAGTTGCTACTCATGCCTAAATTTGTACTTTCAAAAGTAGAAGGGGATATCTGCCCCAAATGAAATCAGGCATTAAAAAACAGATTTTAAAGCAGCTTTGGGACAAAATAAAGTGCTCCGTGAGATTTCTGCAGTTATTGAGGCTTTTATCATTCTGGTTATTCAGCTACGTTGCTCTACTTTCTCTTTTTTCTTTTTCTTCTTTTTTTTTTTGAATCACTACTGCAGGCAATGGCTTTATTAGATCTGGTGAATGCTTCATGTTTTCAAGGGTTACACCTGGCCAACTCTAAAATGTTGCAAAGGTTAAAGAACTACTTTTAACTCTGCTAACCATCACTTCCCTTATTAAAACAGAACAAAATTATTTAATATTTGAGGTTTTTTTAAAACAGAACTGAGCCTTTCAGAAAATATCTGCAGTAAACACAGCAGTGATTATGCCATCTGAGAAAAGCAGATGTGTTAGATTCTGGGGTAACTGAATCTTGAAATATTTATCTGTGAATATTCATCTGTCTACTTGTCCGTATGAGAAATTAAATAATATTGAAGTAAGCAGGAGGTTTGTTTAATGTGGACTCTTGTGGATTTCTCCAGTCTGAGCTGTGTTTCCTTGCATTTTGAGGCTGGATGCCAAGAACTGCAAGCGCATCAACCTGGGGGGGTGCCAGGCTGCCGTGTACCTGCAGCGGCTCCTGCAGCTCAAATATCCTGGGCATTTTGCAGCCATCACGCTCAGCCGGATGGAGGAAATCCTGCACGAGCATAGCTACATTGCAGAGGACTACATAGAAGGTAAAACCAGAGTAATTTACCACCAGATAGTGTTCATCCACACTTAGTTTGTCCTCTCTATCTCTTGTTTTCATGTTGGCTAGGATTCTACCAGACATATTCTGCTGCTATATTACTATCTTTGTAGCTGTCTTTCTGGTAACCTGCCTCATGCTTAACAAAGCTTTCAAATTTAAAATTAAGAAATAAAACTGAACTACTACCAAAAATGATCTGTATTAGTTCAAATTTATCTGTGAATAAAAATTGGGATTGTCTCAGAGGACAATAATTTACAATGAGCTTATTATTTACTTTATGCTTCTAAAACTCCTTTAAATTGGTTAGGATTTCTGCATCTAGCTGTATTTCTTATCTGCATTAGGGTTTCTAAAATTGCACAGGACATTTCTCACGGCTTTTTGTGAATTCAGTAAGTTTTACAGTTTCCATGGTACGTGTCATCTGGAGTAGTGGTTGAAGAGAAGTGTGTTCTTAAATTTGTCACTTGTGAATGAGCCTGCACAAGTCCTTAAACATGTGTGAGAGCTCCTCCTTGGAAGGAGAGAAGAGACTTTAGTGTGCACTTCCACTTGTTAGTGCTTGGTGTTTCCTGGAGATCAGAGCGCGAAGAACCACCTGCACTGAGTATGTGACCAGAGGGGGTAGCCAAGCATGGGGGCAGCTGCCAAGAGGTGACGAAATTCTAGGGTGGAACTATTTCTGCCTTCTTTCATCACCTTTCGTCCTCTGCATGGAGTGTGTACAACATATGAATCGTTGTCTTCAGCTGACAAAACAGTTATCTTGCTTTCAAAACACACAGAGCTCCAGAAGTGGCGGTGCCCAGAGTACTATGAGAACAATGTGCACAAGATGCAGCTGCCTTTCTCCAACAAGCTGCTGGGGAGCACTCTGACATCCGAGGAAAAGCAGGAGAAAAGACAGCAGCAGTTGCGGCGACTTCAGGAACTCAACGCACGTCGTCGAGAAGAGAAGCTGCAGCTTGACCAGGAGAGGCTGGACAGGTTGCTGTATGTACAGGTAACCAAGGCAGAGTTTTCATGTGATATTTTGAGAGGAGGGCAGGCTGCCCTTGGGAGGTGTATCAGAGGGTTACGTGTTGATGTAAAGAACCTATGACTGTCCTGGGTATTTTCTGATAGGAGCTTGCCAAGGTTACTTGTGAGATAACAGGGAGGGACTACTGATGCAGAGGGTGCTTTCAGATTCTGAATATTTTGAATGCTGCCAAAGTGTGTACATCATTATATCTAGTAATGAAGGCAGAGTGGGCGGAGTGTCTGTGCATGCACAGTTGACAGATAGTAATGATTACCCTGTCTTGTTCATCACATCTGATCTGTCTGCAGGAACTTTTAGAAGATGGTCAAATGGATCAATTCCACAAAGCTTTGGTGGAGCTGAACATGGACTCTGCAGAAGAACTTCAGTCTTATATCAACAAATTGAGCGTGTCTGTTGAACAAACAAAGCAGAAAATCCTACAGTCAGAAGTCAGTATTGAAGTAGATGTTGTGGACAGCAAGCCAGAGGTATTATGTTTTCACCAAGTTAATCCCTGTCTTATCTCTGAGAGAATTAAGTTTCTGTGCTCAAAAATGTGTCCCTTCAGACTACTAGTCGTGAACTAAGCTTTTAACATGCTGTAAGTCAGTGTCAGGTTGGCAACTGCTTCTCTCTTTTCAGAGAGAATGTCCTGAGACAACCATCCTTAATTATTAGTAGCCTTCTATTAAAGATACAGAAGAACCCCTCAAGCTTTTTCTTAAAAACAGTATTTGTTTTCCTTTCTGTTTTTCCCTTTCAGGTGCAGAGAATTTTGTGGTAAACAACCAACCTTTTGCTTTCATGCTGCCTTTTTTTGGTGCAATTAAGCAGCCTGTTCTTCTTTGTTTACCTAATGAAAGGTTAATTGTTACACTTGGTTGTTGGAGTTATCTTGAAGATGAGACGCTTGTTTGTCTGCTTTGCCGGACTAACACAGGCTTAGCACACGACAGCTGTTTCTAAGAGGTGGTCTAAGATGTTTGTGCATGTGCTTATAATTGCCTTTCAAGTCACATAAAGCAGAGCTTTTTTTACTTATGGCAGCCTTTGCTCAGGGAAAAAGGCAGAGAGAGAAACAGAAAATTGAAGCATAGAGGAGAGATCCATATTTAGGTTGCCCAGAGAAGCTGTGGCTGCCCCATCCCTGGAAGTATCTAAGGCCAGGTTGGATGGGGCTTGGAACAACCTGGTCTAGTGGAAGGTGTCCCTGCCTGTGGCAGGGGGATGGAACAGGATGAGCTTTGAGGTCTCTTCCAAACCAAACCATTTTGGGATTACGTGATTATCAGTAGAGTTTGTGTGACAATCAAAATGATTGTGTTTGAGCAAATTCAGGGAGATGATAGGCTTACCATTGTGGTAAAGCATCTTTCTGCCTTCTGTCAAGAGAAATTGTTCTATAAGATAACTGAAAGACTATCAGCTTGTTCTAATTTTGCTCAGTGGTTGTGCCTAAGTTCCAACATGGATCCCACACTCCTCTTCTTTACTAGGTGTAACCACAGACCTTGGAATGAATCCGCAAGTCTTTTTGTTTGGTCTTTGCCTTGTGAGAGCACCTACAGTTACCACCAAATCCATTTTTTAGACAGGCCATCCTTCTGTCATGTAGAGGAGTCTAAAAGCTAATTATGTTGTCCCAGGGTCTGTGCCAAGTCTGTAGCAGAATTCAGTGTTTCTTTCTGTTACTGGTTTTTGTTTTTGTTTTTTTTTTTTTTTAAGATGTAAAAAGAAATGGATTTAACAAAGCATAAGTGGTGGAGTGAACTTGAGGTGACTGCATTTGTTTGCTGTAACAATGAACTCTGCTCAAACTTCAGTTTGAGTAATTGCTTCTATTTAAGTGAATATAAAATAGGTACTTAAGAATGTTTAAAGGGTCTAGTTTTAGCTCATTCTGCTAGAAGAGCTTTCTAGTCATTGCAGGCAATGTTTCAAGCTTAAAATAACCAAAATAATATTTTGCAACAAAATCCTAAAGGTAACATTGTAACGCAGAAAAACCAAAGAAGATAATTAAGAAGCTCTTGCTACCTCACAACAGGAGTCCTGTAGGATTTTGAGTGATGCTTTTCATTAGGAAAGAACTGCACATCTGTGTAAAATATAAAGGGGTTTTGGTGCATCCTGTGAGCAAATGGTAGGTGGTTGAAACTGTCAGAAATTGTGTGGTGGCTTTGGAGCTAGCAAATATTTGTTTTCCAGTCCCACACAAACAAAATAGGGAATTTAATGGTAATTATAGTGCAGTTGGAGGTGCTGGGAGAGCAGCAAGTTTTCACCAGTATAAAAAGCTATTTTACCAGGTTTTAATATGGTACGTTTAGGACATGGCTGTCTGGCATCCTGGCAGACTAAGGCCTTGATTTTTGAGCTACCATTGTGACAAATTTATTGGAAGTGTTTGACTTTTGTGGTTTGAGTGAATGTCTGTCTTACCTTCTATTTTCTGGGCATATTTGTTTTCAGGCATGTTAAAAAGTTGAGATTTGAGGAAATTGGCACTGAGTTTTCCGAATGTGTCACGTGAATTGCAGTCACATGTGTGCCCAGCACACCTGAGCTAATCTACCAGAATATACCTTCTCTGTTTCCAGACTCCTGATTTGGATCCATTGGGCAGTGAACAGTCACTGGAGGATATGGAAAGTATTAATGAGTTTGAACCTTTATTTGCTGAGGAACAGCCTGAAGTTGAGAAGCCTGTTGCTGCAGTACAGGTTTGATTTCTCTGTCTATACCTTGTGCCAGAGGTTTCTGCATCTCAGTTGTCCAGCAGGTCTGCTAACATTTTTCCCAATGCAAACATTGTTTGCCTGCTCTTGGAAGAGATTCTTAAACTACCTGAACAGGACATTGAGAGGAGAAGTCCTTGCAGTCTTAGCTGGTTGTTTAGACCATGAATATACCCACTTGGTTCACTTTGCAGGCAATGTCTGTTGTAGCAGTACCATGTTATTAGGGAAAAAAAAAAAAAGTCCTGCTCAAGTTTCTTTTGTCTGTGACCTATAATCTGATATCTCATCCCAGTGGACACAGCTTTCAACTTGTGAGGTAGAGCCCTAGTGACACAATGGAGAATAAGTTTTATAGGAAAAGTCTAGCTTCCTTGGTCTTCTGGAACCTTTTACAGCATTCTCTTTCTCTGTGAGAGCATTACCATCTGTTTTTTGTACAGAATTGTTTGGAAAATTTTCTTATTCTAGAATATTACTGTTCTTTAACATAATTACCCACTACTTCTCAATCTCATCTTTCCAAAGCCCGTGTTTAACCTGGCAGAGTACCACCAGCTTTTCCTTGGCACGGAAAGAATCAGGGCTCCAGAGATTGTGTTCCAGCCCTCCCTAATAGGAGAAGATCAGGCTGGTATAGCAGAAACCATGCAATATGTCCTTGAGAGGTAAGTTTACAAACCTGCTTACTTCAGCTATCAGCTTTTAAAATACTGGGGTTTTTAGCAATAATTTGAGAAAATATGTTGGAATAGTTCTTTTTGGCAGGGTGGAGCATTGCAGACTAGACATGTCTTCCTGTTCTGAAAGTCACAGGTAACTCTGCTTGTCTTAAGTCAGTGGATCTATACATTTTTTTGATCAATTACCCCATCAGTGAAAAATTTTTGAGAACACACCTCTAATTGATATCTATTTTTAAATTACATACAGGTACTGCTGAAGGAATATATTGTGAACATTTTAAAACACACACAAAAATAGACATTAAAAGGATGAGATAAAGGTGAAATAGACACTATTTAAATTTATTTGTTAATAGTACAAAAAATACCTTCTTCCTGCACTCCACTGGATTGTCTTGCACAGATCCCACTTTGGAGATCCCTGGTCCAACCTGTTACAGAGAGAAACAACAAGCCCTTGTAAATAAATATCCATCCCATACAATGGTGAGCTGGCAGTCTCTGCCTTTGGGAGACCAAAATCAGGGGTAACATTTTAAAGTTATGATATGGACATGCTTGCTGGACATTTCCAGACAAATTAGCACTGGCAAGATTTCACTCCTGAACTGTATGAACATGGGGGATTCCATTTTCTGAAAGGTAAGAATTCTAGCCCTGGAAAGAAGGTGGAAATCCTATTGTTGATTTACGGGGTACGGTCCACTGTGTGCTTTCAGGATTTTCTTCTGCCACCCCCTGAATTTCCAGAACACAAACACAGTTTTTCATGCTAGGGAAATGAAGGAAGTTTCTCTGTGAATCCTGAGGCAAGGTATGAGTACTCCCCAGAGCTGTTACAGTTCATAGGGGAGATGTCCTTGAGAAAGGCTGAAGTTGTTTTTATTCCTCGTAGGTATTCAAAGGAGCAACAAGCTGTTCTTGTCCAGAATGTTTTTCTCACTGGTGGAAATATGATGTACCCTGGACTGAAAGCCAGAGTCCAGAAGGAACTCTTGGAAATGAGGCCGTTCCAGTCATCTTTTCAGGTGTGTGTGTTGACATTATGTTTGCGTGCACAGCCTGTTCATTTGGGTTCAGAAGTAATTGGGGTTGGGTGAGGTGCAGAGCAGGTGTGCTTAGAGCATGGGAATGGAGTGTTTTATGACGAGACACTGCAGACAGCTGTTTTGACCTGAGAAGATGCAGGTTAAGCAAAGATACAGTTGCTCTTTCTGAAGTCCATAGAGAGTGTAGGGAAGATACCTTGGAAAAGGAAAATCTGCTTCTGCGAAAGGACCAAGCACACAGAAGCATGTTCGGCTGGACATTTTCAGATTGATTTCCTAGGAATTGATTCCAAGGTGAAAATGCGCTTCAAACCCGTTCTTAACTTTCTTCCCCGGAGCCACTGAGTAATCATCTAAGACTTCTGAAGCTCAGTGGTTTGTCTTTACTGCTGCAGTCAGGGTAAAAAGGCCTTTATCTCTGCGATCAGGGTAAAAAGATCTTTCTCTCCTGTCCTGAATTGACATTGCTGTTCTATTTTCCTTCCATCCAGGTTCACCTTGCTTCCAGCCCTGTTTTGGATGCCTGGTATGGGGCTAGGGACTGGGCAGTGGAATACATGAACCGTGAGGAAGGCTGGATAACCAGGAAGGACTATGAAGAAAAAGGGGGAGAATACCTCAAGGAACACTGTGCTTCCAATGTCTACGTCCCCATTCGCCTTCCCAAGCAGGCTGCGCGGGCAGCAGAGGCGGCGGCGCCCAGCAGAACGCTGGCCTCAGGCACAGGGGAGCAGGGATAGCCCTGTCCTTGGCACTGACCAGGTGTGCAGGAGGGCACACCTCGTCCCTGATGCTCGGGAGCACTGGGATCCCATCCAGGCCCTTGGAGGAGGAGGACAGGCCACACTGGGTGTCACCTGGTGTGGCTGGAGTGCTTGCAGCACTCAGTGGTGCTCATACACAGCAGCACAGAGAGAGGAAACACCATCTTATAAACTCTTGTCATAAGACTTAGGGGGTTTTGAGAGTGTATGTTTTACAGCTTTTAAAAATTTTATTAAATGTGCTGGTTTTATAGTGGTTTTATTTTTTGATCCTGCGGCAGGGCTGTAGGGACCAAGGCAGCCCAGCAGGGGTCCCCTTCGCTCATCGCAGTGATGCTCTGTCAGGACGTGTCGGGCAGGACCGAGGGGCTGAGCTTGGCCTTCTCTCCTGCTCTGTGGCCTGTTTGATCTCCTTGTGCTACACACGTTCTGCTAAAACACCACTCAATAAGTGGTTTCACTGATGTCAGTGATGATATTGATGACTTGGTTGAAACTGGAGGACTGGTCACGTAAAGACACAGTCCTCCATAAAGCACAGTCCAGAGGGACTGCCAGGTCTTGTGCAGCCCTGGAGTGGTTTTACAGCAATGGTGCTGAGCAGGGCAGCTCTTTAAAGGGACTTTTTGATCAAAAGTTGATTTAGCAATAAAGCGAACTTTTTTGCTTTACATCTAATGTATTTTAGCAATTTGATTCTATTTAGAGACTACAGCATTGGTTGTACCTTGCTTACAAACACAGGTTTGCAGCCAGACCCCTGTCCTAGTGTACAATGTACTCCAGCTTAAATTCGACTAAGGATTCAGTTGTTGCGCTGAACAACTTGCAGTTGCATTCCCAAAAGAATAGTCAATACTTAATGTTGAACTGAAACCTAAGGAGACTCCATCACTTTGGCAAAAGCTGGAAAAGGTAAGACTATAGGGAAAGTATCCAGATTATATCAGTGGTATAAAGAAGGTGTAGACGTGGTGATTGATTGTCCCTGATGGCTGCAGAGCATGAAGATGAGTTGTCACCTGGCAGATTCAAAGCAAAGAACATGAGGTGCTTGTCAGTGCTGAAGTTGTTGCCACAGGATGCAATACACACATTTTTGAATTCCAAAAGTATTGCCCACAAGTCTGTGGTCAAACAAGGTCTGTGATCAAACTGAGGTCTCACCTGTGCATTGAGGTCCTGCAGTGCATGTTCTTCAGAGAGCATGTGAGGGAGGGGTTGTTGCAGACCTGTTCTCATACACAGCTCCTGTGGCACCCAGCACTGGTCACTGGGATACAGGTCTTGGTGGGCCTCTGGCCTTTTCCTAACAGGCTGTTGGGCGGGGGAGGAGGAAGAGGCGGCTCTCTGTCTCCAGGTGACCAGTTTGAAGTATTATCCTATCCCTGGCTGCCTGGAGGCAGTTTTCAGGACCATGTAGGGAATTCCAAGGGTGGTAATGTGGAAAAACTGTGCTGTGCTGAAACAGGGCAAAGTTACTCCCCAGCATGTCTTTTCTGATCTCAGTGACCTGGAGTGGAGTAAATGATGTCCCATTGCTATTTGACCCCTTTCTGACACATCTTTAGCTAGTTTAGGCAGAGTGGCTATTCAAGGTATGGAAATCTGTTCTGATACTTGGTGTTGGCTACTTTATAGATAAGTGTGTTGTGCATAAAACTGTTACAGGGTGAAGGCCTGAAAGGGCATCTGTAGTGGGTGATTAGGTGAATTCTAAATGTTTGGCTAAATTGAGCCAGCCACTTCTCTCTTGCATTAATTCGAAGTGGAGCTGTCTAATTCTATACAGAGATGCCAGAGCAGCTGCTTAAACAGATTTAAGGAAGCATTATTTTATAATCTCCTGGATATTAGCTGTTAACTTGTTACTTTATCTCTGCAATAGCTGGAGAAAGTAATGAAGTTGGACAACGTGATCATGGTCACAGGCTGTTCTGAGTGTGCTGGTGGGCATTCATTTACTTGGGTAACATCATGAAAAGTGTGAACATGGCAGAATGGGATTAATTTTACCCATTTAAGTTCAGTTCCCTGGTAATGATTTGGCTGTGATGCTACATGAGCATTGGTGCTGGCAGGATTCAAATGGAAGGGAATGTGTGGTACCGATTGTAGGAGGACACAAAGGTGTTCTTTTTTATGGTATTGGTGGAGTTCTTCTGGAGCTTCTTCACCACTGTGATACTTGTGGCATGATTTTCTCATACCCATGTGCAGAAGAATTTGTTCATCTATCTGGCACAGGGCTCTCCAAAACCAAAAAGAGTTTGGACTGTGTCTTCTGTGCATTGGCTTCTGCCACCTGAGAGGGGAGCAGGGAATAGGCACCTACTTGGCTCCGTTTTAATGGGACTTCTGGTTATGTGAGGAGCGCTAGGAGGAAAAATAAGGCATCTGTGAACAGGAAACTTGGAAGCAATGCTGTGAGGACCTTTGCCAAGTGATTGTAGGGCTGCTGTTGAGTGAGCTACTGTGCCAGCAGCCCTGGAATCTGTGCTGTGTTTGTCCTGGTAGGTGTCCCACAAGCTGCCCAAGTGCAATTGCCAGTCCTGAGATGGCCAAGTGGTTCCCATTTGGTCCTCAGTATATTGGGTTCAAAGCAACTGTAACCATATTATACAATTCAGTTAACACTTAATTCGGGTCAAAGAATACAAAAAGTACAAGCTGCAATTTAACAGGAGTGGTGAGTTTGGTCTATTTGAAAGAGAGCTCAAACTGGGTCCCACCTTTCACAGGGTTCCTAAGACCTACTCTGGGTAGAAACACCACGTCAGTGAGGAGCCCAGGAGACAAAACATCCATCAGGTGTTCCATGTCCCAGATTTCCGTTTGAGCTGCTGACGAGCCTCGTTTTTAGGCCTCAAGGCTTCTTATGTTTCCTGTGCCACAGTAACTTCAAACACGAGCCGTTCTTTGCTAAATCTCTGCTAGGACACCAAGATTAGAACTCTCTGCTCCAGTTATTAATATCTGAAATACTTAATGTGATGTAAGACAGCATTTCAGAAAAAAAGAGAAGATGCCCATGAACTGTCACTTAAAATTTAGGATTATCCCTCCGGAGACAGCCTGCAATGATCCTCTAGCAGCCAGTCATAAACCACAAGTTTTGAAGCCTCTGTGGGATGAGCAGGGAAGGGGAGAATGCTGTAATAGATTTAACATTATCCCCAGAGTCATATGGTGGGATTTCCACCCCGTTTGGGTATGTCAGGCACAGAGCAGCTGTGCTGATTCCCAGTGCTCACTCCCACTGCTTTACGCAGAGAGCGAGCTGGTCCCTGAGCAGCAGCTTCAACAAAACTCAGTTTTAAATGGCTGAAACTCTGGGCATGGTTTGCCAAGAATTCTTCATGTTCCTTTCACTCCCTGTCCTGTACAAGCATGAGAGGCTGGAGACTGGCTGCCTTCTCTGAGCTTGCTTGGAAGAAAGTTCACTCTGTACAAACAATTTTTGGATAGTCCTATCTTTGCACTAAGGATTTTAGTGCAGAGATTGTGTTCTTTAGGGCATTGCTGCCCTCTTCAAAGGAGAATAGTAATAGATAAAACTGACCTGCCTCACTGACACCTGTTTCTGCATTTGAACAGCAGCCCAACTGCATCCAGGTAAGAAACAGTTCTGTTGGTCCGCTCTTCCTGCTCTGCTTTGGGGGCTTCACAGGGCTCCTTCACACAATTTTACAAATAACTCAGTTGTTGCTAGAATGATCAGAAGTCCCCTGGGGCACACAGGCCCCTGCTCCTCAGGGGCGACCTCCCTGTCACCGCTCTCACATTGAGTACCAACAGCTTTCCAGCATTTCATCCGCTGCACTTAGCTAAATCCATCTGATCAAGAAGCCATCAGCTAATACACTGCCGGTGCTCCAGAGACAAAATGCCCTAAGGTCCCAAACTGTTTTCCAAGACATATCCACAATGACATGTCCCTGGGGTTCCACCGTGTGTACCAGGAGGGCTGTCACAGGGTCAATGCCAGCTGCCAGTCCTGGGTTTGAGCTGTTACAGAGCTTCTTGCATAACATCTTGCATAGCTTGTCTGGTTTTAGGAAAAGCACCTTTGATTTCTAAATGTGGCAGGGTTGGGGTTTTTTTTGTCACCTTTAAACTTAGTTTTGTGTCCCTTGGGTTAAGCATGTGCATTACCATGATATGTAGCTTCTGGCATTGCTTCTCTGGTCTGGGAAATACATTTCATATCCTCATCCTCAGATCAGTTTATTTTTCCCACTCTACAGCTTGGTTAAAATATACCCCACTCCTCCTCTCACCCCAGATTCCTGCCACATACCTGGCATTCTTTAATCCTGAATGAGATGAAGGAGTGGGGGATTTCACCCCCCTGGAATTTTAGAGGAATATTAAGTGGATTTCTCATGAAAAGCCCCATTTAGGTTACAAATCTCCTCTAAAGATAGTCCATGCATGGCAAACCTTGCTTTTGCTGCTAATGGTGAATGGAGATTTAATTCCTTATTCAATAGCTACTTTCTCCTTGGGCCTTGTTGTAATTATTGCCATTGATGGAGTCTGTTTTGGAACACATTCCTGGTACTGTGGATGATGCAGAGGAGATTTGCAGCCTTGCAAAGGTAGATGGGGACACGAGTGGGCTGTTGGAACAGTTGCTGTGATGTGGCCAAACTCTTCATATAGACAAGGCAACAAAAAGGTGATTAAGTGAGAATAGCTTTCATCCAGACTCGGTCATTAATTTTCCTTAATAAACATAAAGCTGCGTTGGATCAAAGGTTCCTCCAGCCTGGTTCTGGAAGCATCCTCCAGGAGCTGTTGAGGGAGGAGTATTAAGAATAGGAGCAGTGAGATGTGTGTGAAACGGAGAGGATGGTAAATAGTTCCGGCTGGTTAGTGCTACATAGGCAGGGAAGCATGGAAACACAATGCTCCTGGAGTCATTACATGGGATCCAGCACAGGACTCTGCCCTCTTACGTGTGTTGAAACGACAGGTTAAGGCATCTGCAAGGACAAGGATTTTGGAGTAGCAACATTTCATTAGATTGTGAACATCACTTTGGAGGAGCTGTGCTGTGGATGTTCCTGAGCCTGCAGCAAAGCAGCTGTGATAGCCCCAAGCTGTGCTCCAGGAGGGAAGGGCTGGGACAGGACACAGAGAGCCTGTCTCTGCCTCCTGCTTTGGGAGAGGGGCTTTGCTGCAGCTCCATGGGGCAGACATAGCAGCTGCAGGAGCCCTGGGTCCTGTTGTATGGGACCCTGGATTGCTTTCATCCATCTCTGCAGTGGCAGAGGGTCACAGGCTGTCCTTGCTGCTGGGAAAACAATGGAGAGGAAGGCTTTGATTCCAGCAGCGATGGACACCATCCTGCTCCAGGGTGGTGCCGATGGAAGAAACTGGGGGCTCGGTTATTTGCTTTTATCCTTTGTTAACCGCTGGTAGCTCCTTGTTGTGGGAACTGCTGTGACTTCTCCTTAGGTTTTATTTATGCTCTGGCTAACATTTGCAGGAGGTCTTTGATATGCAGCCCTAGGAGTGTCCCCTGGCCTGGCAACGGGAAAGGTTGAGCTGGGGCTGCCTGCAGGCACATCCAGGCAGGGAAGGAGGGCTAGTGTCCTGCTGTGGTGGCTGGAGTGGGGGTAGACACAGCAGTGTCCCAAGTCAGCAGCAAATATGGCTGGTGGTGC